AGTTCCTTCATCTTCCAAAGAGTTAAACCCTAACGAGGTCTGTAACATTTTCTTTTAATACATCAAAATAACGAGAGGAAAACCATAATTTATAGTAATAACCGAGCCATAATGAAGGAAATACAAAGTGTTGAACTAAGTAAGTCAAGGGCGAATCAACATTCTCTCTGACTCCACCCACTAGCTCAACTGGTTTAAAAAATAATAATGCAGCTGGGGGGTGGGGGTGGGAAAAATAATATATTATTCAGCTATTTAACATAGTTGTGAGCAAAAATCACAGTCAAGAGGAAAGGGATAATATGTTTTTAGACATGAAACATGCTTACTTAGAAGATGTTTTCTTACTACATTTTTAGCTATAAAATTGTACATATTTGAGAACTAAACCCTTAAAAAAAACTTTTTGGAAAAAGAAACCTAAAGTATATGCCTAATTCTAAATTATTTGGCTTATTTTCAAAATCCCTTTCATTTTTGGGAGGATTTATAAAATCAATTTATAAAAACTTCCCTATATGCAGAAACAATTTAATGACATTCTTACTAATGAATTAAGTAAGTACTCTTTAGAGGAATTCATAAAATTAAAATACTGAAAGTTATACTTAAGTTCTTTACTCCTCAAACCCACACTCCCTCCCCATGGCAATACGACTGGCTTTTCCTTACAGGAAGTAAAATGATGGCAAGATTTTTCTCTAGAAAAACAACATAACTGGTGTATGGCATTCTAACCTTTCTTCTGTATATGCATTTGAAAATGCAGAAGAAAAGGCACCTTAGATAAAAGTACCTGATCACAAAGCAAACAGTCCAGTGATGATGAATGTTTAACCTTTGTGTGTACCTGAGCAGTAATTCTTACCCTCAACAAAATGATCAATTAGGATCATTATGTTCAACCTTCACTTCAAGTCCTCACCTTCTCTCCCATATCCCAAACATATCGTAAGCAAAAGATCTACAATATAGTCACAAGACAAAGATCTCCCATAACTGCCAAAAATAGCAATCCCAAGGATATTTGGATTTTGACAGTTTTCAATGCCTTAAGCTAAAGAAATAAAGCTTTTACCAGAATTTCAGAGATCAGCCTTGGGATGAAAAAGTACTCTCGCTTAAAGTGGTATTTCATAGGCTAGCTTAAATTTAGCAAAGAGAAGGAAGTAACAGTCTGAACAGATTTGAGTTTAAAATTTCTACCTGAAAACCAAATCAAGCTAGGTTCTTAGTTTGTAAAAGCCACAGAGAATTTCTTTATTGGTGGCAAGAGCAGCCAACCAGGTAATGATTTTTAATCATGTTGTAAATGGAGAGAGTGTGGGCTTGGGGGCTGGGAGACTGGAGGAGACACTGTAATAAGATCTAAAAGGATGAGGGAGGCCATAGGAGAACAGAGTCTGTAAGTACTGGTAGTCCTTTGCACACAATCTTTGAGGATCAGTTCATAGGTGACTCATTATCTTCTTTACAATTTAAAATAAATAAACATATGCAAATAAAAAACATATGCAATAACGACTTCAATACACTCTTCTAAACTAAGAGCCTAAAGAGAAAAACTTGGCATGGGCAAACTTAAAGGCAGGATGCCCCTCCAAAAACAAAAGCCATTTAAAACATGAAAGAACAATAAGAACAAAAAATTGAAAATGGAACTGCCATTTGACCCAGTAATTCCACTCTTAGGAATATATCCCAAGAAACTAGGAACACCAATCAGAAAGGATATATGCACCTCTATGTACATAGCAGCACAATTCACCATAGCTAAGATATGGAAACAGCCTAAGTGCCCATCAGCAGATGAGTGGATTAAAAAACTAGTACATCTACACAATGGAATGCTACACTGCTACAAAAAAGAAAGAACTTTTACCATTTGCCACATCATGGATGGACCTGGAGAGCATTATGTTAAGCGAAATACACCAGTCAGAGAAAGATAAATATCACATGATCTTATTCATTTGTGGACTGTAATCCTATATAATAAATCCTATATGCAAATTGACCATCACTAACACACAAGATGGCTGTCCCATGTGGACACAAGATGACCAGCAGGGGAGGGCAGTTGTGGGTGATCAGGCCAGCAGGGCAAGGCAGTTGGGAGGGACCAGGCCTACAAGTGAGGGCAGTTGGGGGTGATCAGACCTGCAAGGGAAGGTAGTTAGGGTTGACCAGGCCAGCTGAGAGAGCAGTTAGGGATGACCAGGCTGGTAGGAGAGGGCAGTTATGGGTGACTGGGCTGGCAGGGGAGGACAATTGGGAGGGGTACCAGGCTTACAGAGGAGGGCAGATGGGGGGCAAGGGGGGACCAGGCCTGCAGGGGAGGGCAGTTGGGGGCAACCAGGCTGGCAAGGGAGGGCAGTTAGGGGTGACTGAGCCAGCAGGGGAGGGCAGTTTGGGGTGACCAGGCCTCAGGAGAGGGCAGCTGGGGGTGACCAGGATGGCAGGGGAAGGCAATTAGGGGCAATCAGGCTGGCAGGGGAGCAGTTAGGTGTCAATCAGGCAGGCAGGGGAGTGGTTTAGGGGGTGATCAGGCTGGCAGGCACAAGTGGTTAGGGGCAATCAGGCAGGCAGGCAGGCAGAGCAGTTGGGAGCCAGCAGTCCTAGATTGTGAAAGGGATGTCCCAGATTGGAAAGGGTGCAGGGTGGGCTGAGGAACACATACACCCCTCCCATGCACAAATTTCATGCACTGGGCCTCTAGTGAACAACATAAACCGATGAACAAAAATAAATCCAGAGACAGCGAAAAACCGAACAGAGCGTCAGTCCTCAGAGGGAAGGCAGGGGAGGGGGAGCAGGTGTAGGAAATCAACCAAAGACTTAGGTACATGCTTATTAGCAAAATCAATGGACATGGACACTGGGGCAATGTGGGCTTGTCCTGGGGGTGGGAGTGGCTGGGGAGGGGTTGATGGGGTAAAAAGGAGACATATGTAATACTTTAAACAATAATAGTAATAAAAAGGTACCCCATGGCCTAGCACAGTTGTTTTCCCAAACAGTGAGATGATAGGATTGTGACCAGCACTTTAAAAACAAATTTACTAGAACAAACTAGAAAACAGCAGAGTGCATGCAATAAGAGAAAGCACTGTTTCAAAAAAAAAAAATTGGGGTTGGGGGGGCCTCTCTCTCTCTCTTTTTCCCTCTCTCTCTCCCCCCTTCCCTCCCTTCATCCTTCCCTCCCTCTTCTCTCCCTCTCTCCTGGGCCTCCTATAGTTTTTGTGTGTTGCCTTCCTCATGTAACCTTTAACAAAGAGCACACTTAGCTCTTCCTCAGGACACAATGGCATTTTGTATAAAACTCTGCACCACTTATTACAACACAGTGCCTGTTCATATACATATATGTCTCTACCATTAGAAAGTAAACTCCAAGGAAACTTCCTTGTATGACCTCCGTATTTCTAATATTTAAAAAATACTGAAGACAGAAGGCTGAGTAAAATTTTGTTGAATGAATGAGTCATCAAAATTTAATAGGTACTGAGGACATACCCAAAATAGTTAACCATTTTCACTTATCATTATCTGATCAGGGTTTATTACTATATAGAACTTTAACTGTAAGTTATAATAAAATCAAAGAAGTTGTTCTTTTTCCAAAGTGCCTAGTATACTCCCTTCCATCTGGAAGTGATAAATAAATGTCTACTTAAGAAACTGAAATGGTTGGTGTGCACAATGACCTTTGAAAAGTAGAACATCAAAGCATACAGATATCCTGCATAGCTGAAGTCTTATTTAAGGAGATTGGCCACATTCACGCTTCTTGTTAGGGGCAGAGAAAGGTAAGGAAAGTTACTGGGCAGAAAAGGTTGCTTTTCTGCATGACAAACTGTTTAAGGCTCCGCTTTCACAGCTACTGCAAGTACTATGAAACATATCTAAATAACAGCACCAAGCAGGCACTTGCTTAAGTATTCAATATAGAGAAATATGAAGAACTTCAGTATTTTTCATATTCATATACTATCACCATCATTCTCAATTCTATTAAATGTAAGGATTAAAGTTATACAAATTAACCAACTCCACTTTTATAATATCACAGAAAGCAAAACAATGAAAATAAATTCTAAAGAAAAACTTTTTACCATGTTTAGAGACCTCAAAAGTCAAAAGTTAATAGTTTACTAAATCAAGGTTACATATAAAACTAGTAAAAATAAATAAATAAATAAATAAATAAATAAATAAATAAATAAATAAATAAATAAATAAATGTTTGCTCTATTATGGGTTCCTGCCCATCCACCGTGGCTCAGTGATTTAACACCAGCTTATGAACCCGGAGAACAGGGTTCAATTCCTGGTCAGGGCATATGCCCAAATTGCAGTTCAATCCCCAGTTTGGGACGTGCAGGATGTAGTCAATCAATGATTCTCTCACATCACTGATGATTCTATCTTTCCCTCCTTCTCCCTTCCTAAGGTCAATAAAAATATTTTTTTAAGTAAATAAAGTGGGTTCCTTTACACTGACCTTCTGAAATATGCTTCTAAATCATTAACAATTTAACTGAAAAACTGACAGTTTCCAACTTATTAGAATTACAACTTTCTTGATATAGCAAGGAAAATACTTGAAATAGGAAGAAAAAAGTGGTATTGCTATCTTAGGGTTCAGACATTTTGCTTCTGTCCCCAATAAATGAAAATGATAACTTTACCTACTATAAACTTATTAAACATCTAAGGAAACAGGGTAGTTCACAAAAACTTCCTTTTGTCACTTCAAAATTATTTTAAGTTATTAGAAACCATATTTCAAGGTAATTACTGGGCTTGGACACTAAAGCCAAGTCTTAACAGTTAACACTGATTTATTAAAAGAAGAAAAAAAGATGAGCTCTGATATATACTCTTTAGAAACAAAACCAATCAATGAAAGTGGCAACAAGCTGTTGTTACTCATTACAAATCCTTCCCTAATCTGAAATGGTAATTTTAATGACCCTGCCAAGGGTGGCAACACTCACCAGTATGAATCTTCTCATGTCTCTGTAGCAGGTACTTCTGTATGAAACGCATGTCACATTGACTACATTGAAATGGTTTTTCGCCTTAAAATAATTTCACATCCACAAATTAGTTACTGGATAAAACACAGTTTATAGTTACTATTTATGAGGAAAGATAAATCTTAGAAGCTCAAATTCTGGAAAATTCCAAATTATCCATACAAATGTTTTAAATTGTTCATTAATTTAACTGAATTTTACAAGTTATCTAGTGTCTTCAATATCTTTTCTTCCTTTTTATCTGCAGAAGATCCACCCGCATTGTTCTCTGTGGCCAACCATCACTTTATGCCTTATTTTCTCCAGAAACTTTCTAAACATCCTTTAAAGAAATCCTGCATCTTCAAATGTTTCCTCTCTGCTGGAGCTTGTCCTTTTAAGGAAAGTATTCTTTGGTCTGCTCTGTGCAAAGAAACTTTCCAGAAATCCTGAAACCTTCTTTACTTTTTCCTCTTCATTTACCACACCTTCTTAAAAGAGAAGTTTATTCTGCATCTCAAACTCTTCACTACCCACTTGGCCTTTAACTCTACATTCTACTTTCTTAAAAGCTACTTATTATCTCCTTGCTATTTATTCTAATGTATTTATTTCTCAGGTATCTATCCTCTCTGAAGGTTGCACTATGGTTGGTCATACTCTAGTATTCTATTTTTGTCTTCTGGGACAACAGTATTTTTCTAGTTCATCAAAATGACCTTACTGCCGAAACCAGTTTGGCTCAGTGGATAGAGCATCAGCCTGCGGACTGAAAGGTTCCAGGTTCGATTCTGGTCAAGGGCATGTACTTTGGTTGTGGGCACATCCTCAGTAGGGGGTGTGCAAGAGGCAGCTGATCGATATTTCTCTCATCGATGTCTCTAACTCTCTATCCCTCTCTCTTCCTCTCTGTAAAAAAAACAATAAAATATATATAGTTTCAAATAACCTTACTACTTTCTCCCCCACAATCCCCTTAATTAAATCTATATGTTTAATCTGTTCTCACAAAGATCTGGTCTTTTAGTTCTGCCCTCAACAACTTCATGTTTTTAATTATCATAGTTAATCTTCGATTCCCAAATTCATATTTCAAACTCTATCTGGATGTCTTGCCTAGAAAAATAAATGCTGATAGGCTTTCAATAATACATTCTTTGACTATTTTTCTAGCTAAAATGAACACATTAAGCCAAATAAGTGTCCAACCAATTAAAAAATTAGTTAATATTGCACATCCATACTAATTGTTTTCTCATTTAAAGTTTTCCCTGATTTCCTCCTGACATTCTGGCCTTATGAAATCTCTAATTTGAAATGCCAGGTTAGCTATGGTCTTAAGAATGAATGACATTTACACAAAGATGAAAATAGCAAAGATAATTTTAATGGCGATAAGCCCATTTTAATTCAAGAAATACCTGTATGAATGAAGACATGTCTCTGTAAGTGATAGTTCGTTCTAAAGGCAGCATTGCAGTGCTCACAAACGTGAGATTTAGGGGTTTTCAAACCAAGTGATCCATCCTCATTTATTGTAAGAATCTAGTCCAAAAAAAAAAAAAAGGCAAAAACAAAAGAAAGAAGTTTTAAAAATGTAATACTAATTTATAAAAATGATAATGCCTTTTAATGCAAACAATGGTCACCAATGATTATGAAATATTTTTCCTAATAACTATGAAAAGGCTGTTACAATAATGTTATTTACTGTAAAGTATGCTCAGAACAAGTAAAGATCACTAATAAAATCTTATAAGTTAGTTCTCCAATGCTGACGTTTAAGAGTGCTTAAGTGTTCTGTTAGTGTGAGTATTGTTTTATTTTTCAATTACAAATTCTCACATATGCAGAACAAAAATCTTATGTTTTAGAAATAGTGTAAATATCAATCAGTATATGACTGGTTAAATAAGTCACGAAAATGTATACAATTTAATATTACATGGCCATAAAGTAAAATGAGAAAGCTATTACTTATATGGAATGAGGTCCAGGATTTACTAAGTTTAAAAAAAGCAAATTTTGCTCTAGTGAGCTTGGCTCAGTGGATAGAGCAGTGGTCAGCAAACTGAGGCTCTCGAGCCACATGCGGCTCTTTGGCCCCTTGAGTGTGGCTCTTCTACAAAATACCATGGCCTGGGCGAGTTTATTTTGAAGAAGTGACATTAGAAGAAGTTTAAAAAATTTGGCTCTCAAAAGAAATTTCAATCATTGTACTGTTGATATTTGGCTCTGTTGACTGAGTTTGCCAACCACTGGGATAGAGCATCAGCTAGACTAAAGGGTCCTGGGTTTGATTCCAGTCAAGGGCATGTACAAGCCCCATCCTGGGGCACATGCGGGAGGCAAACCAATCGGTGTGTCTCTCTTACAGCAATATTTCTCTCTCTGTGTTTCTCTCCCTCCCTTTCATTCTTTCTAAAAATCAATGGAAAAACATTCTTGGGTGAGGATTAATTAATTAACTGACTAACTAAATAAATATAAAAAGCAAGGTTTATAATCCAGTATATAATTCTTGTACTTTTGTATATGAGAGTAATACACACATACACACACACACACACACAAACTACTTGAGAAGGATGTACATAAAATGTACATAATCTCAGTTGTGATGGCTGGGGAACATGATAGGTGGGAGAGCGACTTTACACTGAACATATTTAATACATTTTTTTAAACCAACATTTTAAATGTTGACCTATTACATTTTCCTCTTTTTTTGTTAACCTGTTAACCGAGCGGGACCTATAAATACGTCAAACGTAAACAATATTGGGAACGGGTAGGACGTATGAATACATCCTTGAAATATATGTTGCACCCTGAGAGGGACGATATATATTTTTTGTAATCTTTATCATTGTTTGTAAAATTTATAATTTTTTAATTCGATATTTCCATTTTTTTGTTGGTATTCTTTTCTATTTGTTTGTAATTTTGTATTTTCCTTTGTGCTTTATATATAAATAAATGGAAAAATATATTTCATTTATTTTAATTAAGTATAAATAAAAAAATAATAATATAAAATTACGTCCACTGGGCGTGACGTACTGACACGTCCTAGTGAAAGAGTACGCGCCCGTTGTACGTTGCGTAATTAAAAAGGGAACTCCCCGGTTAACAAGTTAAGATGAGAAAACAAAGTTTTCAAGTCATCCAAAGATAGAATTTAGAGTCTGGTTCAATCATTCTAGGACTACTAAACTATTATTAAGCATATTCCTAAAAATATTTGTTAGACCAATTTGAACAGGTATGGGAAAGGAAGATAGTTGACAAAGAAATCAACTTTATCTCCCTGGTCTTCTTAAGGTTGAGAATATTTTGATCTGGACAGTGCCAGAGAGAAGCCACATTTAGGCCTCATGTATTTCAATTTATCAACCGTTTGTTCAACGAGCAACATTATACTGCCTCCCTCATCAGACAAGTGGCAGAGTGAAAATAATCAATGATTCCTTTTTCGTTATTGAGGAGAGAAGAAAGATGGCAGAACATGATTTGAAAATAAGCAAATAAAACTAGGAGATAAGATGAGGAGGATCATGGCAAGTGAGAGGCAAGCAATACTGGAAGTGGGGGCACAGAGAGTGGGAGCGAAGGAACTGTGTCCACAGCGAGTGGGGAAATCTAGGGAACGGATTAGGGCCTGTAAATACACAGCTGTAATCACTTCCCAACCCTAGAAAAAAGGAGTAGGTGAGGGAAAAAAAGATTTGAAATTTAAAAAAAATATTTTTTTACTTTAAATTTAGGAAGATAATTCACCCACACTGTATGTAAATCAGTGGTAATTATAATGCAAATTACACAGGGCACTTGGGTTCTGGGCAAACTGCCAATGTGGTCAGCAATGCTTCCAAGTTTATGCACAAAAGCCAGAGGGAAACATTTGGCAAGGGAGCGGAAGTGGGTGTCGCGGCTTCCTGGAGAGTCAGTGGGAATGAAGTTTCAACTACAGTCAGTTAAAAAAATTTCAAGCCTTCTAAGTCACAACATAATATGCAAGTTAACATTGTGCAAAACAACAACAAAACACAGAAAGTTTTAAAAAAAAAAATGACTCAAAATATTTCTAACTTAAAAAAGCAAAAAAATAAGCATTTATATAAAATAGAAATAAAACCAATATACTATGGTATTTTTTTCCACATATGTTGATAAATAAGAAATCCAGGTTCAAAAAAAAAAAAAAAAAAGGCAGTTCAATAGCTTCCTGTGGCATACACAGCTACTGCAAGGAAAGGCTTTGACAGGAACAAATCTGGCCCAAATTTCTTAATCTGCAATGGATGTAATCCTGGTCAATACAACAAAGCCCTTTTATGAAGACTTAAGCAGTTCTAGGTCCTTGTTGTCTGTCACTAGAGATAATGCTGCCTTTCATTGTAGATTCAAGCCTTAACTCAAGGTGGATTTTATGGATGGAACAGCTAACACTGGCTTGTGAACAGCAGACTAAAAAAATCTAGCATATTTATAAAGTTCAAAGATAGAAAAATCAAACTCTTAGGCATTTTATATTTAATTACCTTTCTTTCCTTTTCTTTTTAGACTACAGTAACAAATATCTTTGCATAAAGGACAAAAAGTAAAATTCAACTTGTCTCAGAATACCACCAGTGCCTCTTCAAATTTGTAATCTGTTTTAAATGTAATCACCTAATTTTGTCTGTTTTACTCACCACTATAAACTCAATGTCCAAAACGGTATCTGGAACATAGTGAGACCCTACACATGTTTACTGACGTGGCTCCCTGCTATCCATACCAACCATCCTCACAAGCTTACCGGTTTATTCTTAAAATTTTTTGCAAGAAGTAATACTTTTCAATTTTTCTGAGTCACTAAGTAGTGCCACAGAGAGGTGAGTATGCAGAGAACAAAGTCCCTTAGTGGAACAGAAGTGGCAAATCAATACAGGCAAAATTTTCTTCCTTGGTATAGATTTAGCTTCTTTTTCCTTGTTCACACTCCCTTTTGCCAGATCTTTTAGTAGAATGTGGTTGCTTTTCTTTTTCACTTCAACAAAAGAATATTACAACTGAAGAATTTGAAATTTAAAACCTAAGGTGTCTGTTATATCTCCACATGATTTATCTTGCTCCTGTACTGATACTTTTGAAAAGAATGGTATATAATAATGCCCTAGCCGGTTTGGCTCAGTGGATAAAGTGTCGGCCTGTGGACTCAAGGGTCCCGGGTTCTATTCTGGTCAAGGGCATGTACCTTGGTTGCGGGCACAGCTGTGCAGGAGGCAGCTGATTGATGTTTCTCTCTCATTGATGTTTCTAACTCTCTATCCCTCTCCCTTCCTCTCTGTAAAAAAAAAAATCAATAATATATATATTTTTTTTATTTTTAATTTTTTTTTTAAAGAAAAGAATGGTATATAATAAAGAACAAGTAATCAGGCTTTATCAAGAGTGGAGAGATTAGTAATAGTCTAAATAATATTCAACATGCTGGTATTTTTCTTAATTGTTTAATAAATTTAAAATAGAATTCTTCACTGTCAAATGGAACTCAATCTGCTCTCTTTATCTTATGGTCCATTAGAAGGTATGTTTTTGTTCTGAGTCAAATGTGTTCCCAGCTAGTTACCTATCCATGTATAATTGCTTATCTTAAAAAATATACCAACTTTGTTTAGTCAGACAAAGTACTAAACTCTGTCTATTAGATTCAGAGATTTTTCTGTCCTCAAGTGTCAGCCACTGAATAACTGAAACCTGACACCCCTCAGTGAGAAGTTTTGTTCTCTTAAAAAGTAGAGGAGATCTTCCCATATTATGCTAAATATACAACAACTATGAACTACTAAAATCATTAAACCATATTTTAAACTAATAATTATAATTGTTATCATACATTCTTAAATCAATCTAAATCTCTAAACCACCAAAAGACAATTTAGAGAAAATGGTTTAAATTTCTCACCTACTATCAGTTATTTTACTGAAAAAGGTGGGGAAAGGGATCTTTTAAATTTCTCTTTTTCAAATCCAATTAGAAATGGAAGAACCCAAAGTCATACAATAAAATAACAAAGTCAGCCAGAGCAATAGTCACCATATTTTAACTGTCTTAGTTATCTCTAAAATCCCATCTCACATTGTCACTTTCTTTCATTCTTCAGGATTTTTATTGTCTCTCAATAGTAGATTTTACATATTACCAAATTTTGTTTTTAAATGGCAAGTTTTTGACAGTGCCAGAACATAAAATACACGGTATTATAAGCATAGTATAATAACAAATGTTCAACATAATAACCCTGAATTTTAGAAAAGGTTCTGTTTCTCATGTTTTCTAAATATTAATCAGAAAAGTATGTGACATTTTTAAAGAAAGATTTGAATCAAATATTTTAAAATTGGAAGTCAATATCATAGTCAGATGATAATACCTCATTTTCTCCAAAAACTTCTAATATCAAGACTTGAGATTCTCAAGCTGTAACATAAATCACAATCACATTGGACTCTAAAGTACAAATGGAAATCCACTGAATAAGAACAACTAGGAACGGGGCCTGAGTATATAACTGGAAAATCTCTAAGGTGATTCTAACGCAGTCAGGACAGAGAGCCACTGACGTGAATGCACTGAGATGGAATTAAGTCCACTGAGACTTTTCACACATTTCTAATCACTTCAGTGCTCTGGAGTCCTAGTCCACAGCAAAACAAAAATAGACTAAAAGGGGCAATGGAATATAATGTTAAATGGCCACATAGGTATAACAATGTAAAAATAAACAGCATGTCACTAAGGAATGAGACAGCTAAGCTATTATAAGCAGACAAGAAACAAAATCTAGCAGTCAACAGTTTACAGGATGGGGGGGGGGGGCTAATGTCTCAGTCCTCTCAGAAGGCTTATTACAACACATACACAAAAAATGTTTATAACATCAACTCTAAGACTCTAAAAGCTGAGTCATGTTCAAATGCACTATATTTAAAAAGAAAACAACACATTAAAGATTTCCATCAAGGTGGCTAAAATAAAATTAAGCTTAACATTTAAAAGTGACAAGCTTTTTGCCCTAGCCGGTTTGGCTCAATGGATAGAGCGTCAGACGTCAGAGTGAAGAGTCCTGGGTTTGATTCTGGTCAAGGGCACATGCCCAGGTTGCGATTGCCGGCTTGATCCCCATAGGGGGCGTGCAGGAGGCAGCTGATCAATGATCCTCTCTCATCACTGATGTTTCTCTCTCTCTCTCCCTCCCTCTCCCTTCTTCTCTGAAATCAAAATACATTTTAAAAAAATGACAAGCTTTTATTATGTGAAAATTTTACTTTCATAAAATACCTTATTCCATGACAGTATCTAATAACTTGACCTAGATAACATTCCCTAACTTGATTACCTTCTTTTACAGACATGATTCCAAATGGACTTTGGCACCTTTCCAAGTATCAAATCTACCTTAAGATGACTAAACTTTTTCATATGACAAAGGCTAAGAAAGCAATGAAAATCCATGGCAGCTGAAGATACAATACTTTACACCACAAAGCTTATCTGGAAAGGAGCCACATTTATATGGATATTAGAAGCTCTGATATTTTTACTGGAATTCTATTATATTACTTAGTAGTAATTCCTGTACAAATCCCCAATCTAATGTGATACATATCCAAGTATTCATCATGGCAAAATTCAAGATTTGGGAAAGGTGCTGGGGTAAAGTGGAGTCTTTTAACCACAATAAATTATAATTCTTTGATAAATTTCAAGATATTTTTAAGAAACATAAAACAAGCAGCATGCTGATTTATAAACATGAAATAGGCTTTCCTTGCTTTTCATACAAAAGGGTAATCAGACATGCAAATTTTAAACACAAGCCTGAGAAAATAACTCATTGGCTAGGCCTCAAAGTCCCAAAACTCCAGATACAAAAACCATTTATCTGGAGACCACAGACCTGTGTTAAAAACAGTGCACAACCACCTTCTGTCCCACTATACGTAACATGTCAAAACAACTGAGTTTGTTATTCTCACACCCCTGTCTGTTACACATGATTTCTAGTCATTTCACCTTCCTAAGAATTCCCTGAAAAGACTGATCCCAAATACTTTTTTATATAAAATGTACTTAGACTGGGCCAAATATGTCATTTAGCAACTGCAGAGATTATATACCATACTAATATAATACCTTTAGATGTTAAAGTAATACATTATAAACAAATTTATCTCAAATAAAAAGCAAAATAGCCTAAAGTCTCTAAAAATCTGGTTTATACTTAGAAACACCTAGAACAAATTACCAAATACACTCTACTATAAGATAACAGTCTGTGTTTTTGTCAGAATTTCAGAACACATTACACTCAAGAATAGTACCAGAAAAACATGGTGATAATATACCAAAGAAAATGTAGAATTTACATATATTATGGTATTTATAGACTTGAAATAAATTCTTCATAGATCAGCTGTGAACCCAAAGTAGCATAATCACTCTCACAATCATTTTAGAAATTTATTTTTCCCTCCATACCTGGTATTGTTCTATAATGGAGAACCTAATTTGTTAATGTAAAAAACAAAAAGTATCATATAAATTGCTCAGAAAAACATTAACTCCAAGAAAAGAGATTTCAAAAAATATGAATTTAAAATGCCAATGATTATGAAAAAAAAAACCACACACACACATAAAAAACCACATAACAAATTAAGTATGACCAGTAACTAAGGAAATTAAAATGTAAACTATACTGAGATGCCCATAAACTACAAAAAAAGCAAAAGTCTCATACTCAAGGCTGATGAAAGTGTAGACAGACACTGTAGGCCATTGCAGGTAGCAACTGGAACATTTCTGGAAAGAGTGACATTATCAAGAAACCTTTTGATGCCTGGACAATGTGGCTCAGTGGCTGAGCACTGACCTACGAACCAGGAGGTCATGGTTCGATTCCCAGTCACAGGGCACATGTCCAGGTTTCAGCCTCGATCCTCAAGTGTGGGGCATGCAGGAGGCAGCCAATCAATGATTCACTCTCATCACCCATGTTTCGATCTCTTTCTCCCTCTCCCTTCCTCTCTGAAATCAATAAAAATGTTTTTTAAGTCCATGCCCTATGATTCAGGAGTGCACAAATATCTATAATATATACAAACATTTGAAGTGCAACATGATTTAAAATGAAGATAAAGAGAATACAAATTTCCAACAACAGAGCAGTCATTGAATATCATGTGATATCTTGTAGGCAGTGCAGGCAGGCAGGCGGTGTAATGTGCGAGGCTTCTCCGGGAAGTGCATGCACTCTGAGTAAGAGGCCCTTGCGCAGAAAAGGCTGCTTTTTTCCTTTGAGCCCAGTAAGCCACCAGGAGCCCTTCTTAGTAGGTGGCCTTTTTCTTCCTTCTTCTCAGGGTTCACATAATCTGATCGCCTCCTGCCCCAATCAGGGTAGCTTCCCATTGTTATTTTCCAACCTCCAGATCTTTGCAATCACAGTTCCCTTTCCCTTGGATTTTCTTCCCATACACTCTCCTCAGCCAAATCCATTCAGGTTAGGACTTTTCTGATCCCCCATCAGGAGTCAAGGCTCTTCCTGTCAGGCCATACCTGCTTGGATGTATCTCAGACCCAGCAAAGAGCACTCAGGGTAAAGGGTGGGCTGCTCCAGGGTACCATGGGGATCCCAGGCTCCGGGCAGGCTACAGTACAGGCTGTGAGGGCATCACAGAGGCAAAAGTGCTGCCCATGGGTATGACATACATCCTGCAGGCATATCCTGAGGAAAGGTTTGGGGCTGCTATGACCCAGGCAACTACCAAAGGAGCTATCTGTTGCCTGTAAGAGTCCACAAAGTTTGGGAGTTTTGAAGATCTGAGCAAGATGCCTGGGGCAGCTGATGCTAAAGCCAAGGTCTGGCCAGGAAGTAGCAGGGGGTAGGCGCCTGGCCTTTGGGCTAGGGTCTGGCGTCCAAATGCAGATCAAAGGAGCCAACATCACCACCAAAGGCCCCAAACAGCCTCACCAGCAAACTGTGGGGGTGGAAGGCACAATTAGGTGTACCTGGCTGCCCCATCATACATGGGATGCAAACCATAGGCTGTGAGCATCATCATATGACAAAATAAAGTTATGTAGCTAGTAACACCCTTATAAAACCATTAAGAACTTTAAGTGTAAAAATAGTTTATATATACTTCAAGTGTTAAAAATCTGGAAATTCTATATATCTACAAATTTGAAAACAGAAAGGGACTACAGCAGAAAACTAAGGTAGTTACTTTTAGGAAACATGACCATAGGTTATTTTAATCTCTCTATTTTTCAAATTTTTCTCTAACAGGCACACTTATGTATCCCAAAAGCAGTGGTATGTTGGTAAATGTTTAACAACAGGTTAAGAAGTCATGGGGCTGGGAAGGGTTTACTGATTTCTGTAGTGTAATTATTCTCATCATGGCTAATTTTAACCTACCAATGGTTTTAGCCCTGGCTTGCAAAATTCCTGAATTAACGCTGGCAAGCCAGTACCAACTGGTTCCAGCACACCACTGGGAATCCAAAAGTATACAAAGATATAAATGGTAATTATGACTAAAATCACATATGCAAAAACAATTAGCCATCAAAAAATAAAGAGGTTATGTTATAATATGATCTTTTTAAAAAAGCCTTCTTCACTATATGAGGAAAGTACACCCAAAAGGTATTTATTGGGTCTCTTATTGTACCTACTATTCCAGGCTCTTGGGATATACCTGTGAAGAAAATAAAGTCCCTGTACTTATGTAGCTTACATTCTATTCATATACATACTTTTTATTGGTTTCAGAGGAAAGGAGAGGGGGGAAGAGAGAAACATCAATGATGAGAGAGAATCATTCACTGGATGCCTCCTGCAGGCCCCTCTTCAGATTGAGCCTGAAACTCAGGCATGTGCATATGCCCTGACTGGGAATCGAACTATGACCTTTATAGGTCAACACTCAATCACTGAGCCACACTAGCTAGGCTTACAATCTGTTCTAATACAAGTATTTCACAACCTTTTCCTGATGAAAAATTGGTACTGAATTTTCCTAAAACCATAATATTAAAATAAAACTAATATAAATGAAAAGCAGGACATTGCATACCATCTGCCAGTTTTTAAAGAGAAAGACAAAGGGAAAGAAAAGTTTGCTTTTAGAAAAAAGACACAGTGAAAGCAAAGTGAAAAAATTTAAAGCAATGGCCCACCACCTCCATGCAGGCATGTACCCCTTCCTCTTAGCTGCTGATGCAACATTCCAACTTTGCTAACCCACACGATACTTTATACAGCTGCCTCTGGTCCAGTCACCTTCCTGCCCGTATGATTAACCAACAGTTTGGGGTTAATAGGTTAGGGACTACCACCTTCATATATTCTCTTACTTTTGCAGGAGAACGTTGCTTCCGTTTCTTCTTTTTCTGTAAGTCTACTGGCTCTCTGATTTGTTTTTTATCTCTCATCAGTTGCTCAGATACATCAGTAAAAGTAATTTCCTGCTTTACACTTATCTGTTAAAAAAAAAGAAAGCCAATTTTAGAAATAAAGTCCATTGTCCAACAGAAAAAAACACAACACTGCATGTTTAATCCTTTGCTAATCCTACATAATATGGCTCCCTGGATAATCTGAGTGTATGCAAGTAAATAGCTCGGTGAAGAATTCATTAATAGGTAACTGAAAAATAAGAAGCAAGAGTATATAAACTGAGGGATAAACTAAGATTTTACAAACAATTATCTGTAAAAAATAATAAAGAAGTCCTGGAAAAAGATGATTATAAGACCTACCGGAATAAAGTGGAAGTCAACAGAAACATCAATTTCATTCCCACATTTAAGAAAAGTGATGCTAAAGTTAAAAGCAAACTAAAAAGGTTAAATCCAAGGAAAAAAAATCAATAAAATAGTCAGCGATAAAAAGAGTATTTTGACTTTACAATGGGCTGTCTCAATTTACAAAATATCAGGAAAACAACAAAATTCTAAAAGGCAGTCACATCAAAAGAAAGGTAAGACAAATAATGAAAATCCAATTACCTTTAAGAACAATACTTTTAACCAGCATTTTAGCCAGTATTTTTCTGATTTCTCAAGTAAACCATTATCAAATATGTTATGGAACTGCATATGGTTTTAGGCCGCCTGCTATGTACAAGGCACGACGTTAACTACACAATAAATATAGAACTACTACAAGAAAATTAAGATATCAACAATATTATCTATCTTCAGATCTCAGTTTTCACAGATATGAAGAGTTATTTGTCCTAAAAAAAGAATACAGTAAACCTTCAATTTTGCTGACCAGATTTAATGAACTTTGGATTTAACAGACAAAATTTCCAGTCCATAAGTCATAGGTGAAAATTAACATCCTATTAATTTTAAAATGTTTTTAACCAAGATTTGCTTATAATTAACAGGTGTATTTTTTGTTATTAAGTCACTGTTATTTTTAACAAACTTTAGCAAATAGGCCGTTTGTTAGTAAAAGCACTATAGTAATTTCATCAACATAAATAAATATTACCTATCTACAACTATAGTCTACATATTAAACCCAAGAGTCACTGTCCATAAACAATGTTTAGTGAATGATCACACCTACCACTCTCAAGTGGTAACTGGTTCTGCTATCTCGAGGGGCGTGGTGTGCCTTTCCGTGGCTGTTTTAGCTTGTGCTGGGTGATGTTCCAGCCTATGCTAAGCCACGCCCTAGCCATGTGCATTTGTTTACTCACAGTGGCCAGTGAGTAGACTCACTTATATTCACTATAAATTTGAAATTACTATAATACATGCAGGAAACTTTTCTGTGAAATTAAACTTTTCACACATAGTTAATTTTAATGACACAAATGTGTCTACATAAGTAAAAACAGGTAAATTAATTAATTTGACAAAATTTTAAGGTACCCATTTGGAACACATACATTATTATATAACGAGGCCTGGTGCACGAATTGGTGCATGGGTGGGGTCCAGCCGGCCCTCCCTGATCAGGGCTGATTGATCCAAGCCGGCTCCACCCCCAATGGGGGGAAGAGAGGGAGGCCGGTCAGGGGAGGGCTTGCCATGGGAGGGGCCACCGATTGTTGTTGGCTGGCCAGCCCCATCCCCTGGTCAAACTCCTAGCTGAAGATACAATTTGCATATTAGCCTTTATTATATAGGATAGACTTTCTGCTTTAAGACACTCCATCACCCAAATTAGTCCCTTATATGAGGTCTTAATGTACATAGGATTCTAAGGTCACTACTGGTAGTGTCTGTCAATTCTCATAAGGAATTGATGGTGTTCAGTCATCCACTGCCACATTTTCAATCTATCTTTGAAATGAAAACACAAGAATCTTAAAACTAAGAAACTTTCAACTCAGGAAGCTATGAGTTAAAATGTTAAACATGCTTGACCTTTGCCCAGCCAGCGTGGCTCAGTGGTTGCATGTCAACCTATGAACCAGGAGGTTTGATTCCCAATAAGGGCACATGCCTGGGTTGCGGGCTCACTCCCCAATGTAGGGCATGCAAAAAGGAGCCAATCAGTGATTCTCTCTCGTCATTGATATCTCTATCCCTCTCTCTCTCCCCCTCCCCTTTTCCCTTCCTCTCTGAAATCAATAAAAATATAAACATTTTTAAAAGATTATATGTTTTTAAAAATGCTTGACCCTTGTACCATGTGAGGACACCAGAAGACTGACCTGGAAGAGGCCCCTCACCCTATCATGCAGGCATCCTGATCTAGAACTTCCAGCCTCCAGAATTTGAGAAATAAATTTGTGTTGTTCATAAGCTTTAAAAAAAATCCTTAATAATAATCCAGGAACTAAAATGTGCTAATGATTACATTTTTTAAAAATATACTTTAAAGCCTAAGTGCTCATCAGCAGATGAGTGGATTAAAAAAACTGTGGCACATCTACACAATGGAATACTATGTTGCTATAAAAAAGAAGAAACTCTTAACATTTTTAACAACATGGATAGACCTGGAGAGCATTATGTTAAGTGAAATAAGCCAATACAAGAAAGATAAATATCACATGATCTAACTTATTGTAGAATATACTGAACAACATAAACTGCTAAATAAAAATAGATCCAGAGACATAGAAGCCTACTAATTATTTTGACATATATGGAAAGTAGTACTTGCATTTTCAAATACAAGGCACACTGTTAACATTGTGAAAGCAGATCCAAATCTAAATATTGTCAATGGATCAAAGCATTATGAATGTAATAGGCACATGGCAAGTTACATTTTTAGAATGCTCCAATAGGTTATGATAAATGGAATAAAGTAATCTCCTCTCTAATCAACTACATATTAAAGTATATGGTCCCGCCTAAGGTGTAAAGAAAAGATGTCAGTAAATCCAAAAAACTTTAAGTGATGGGTTTAATAATTCGGCTAGGAAAAGTGAGTTACAAAAAGTTTAAAGAAGCACAACAAAAAAGACACTAATTTACTCATAAGTTATTTACTCTTTTCTTGAGAACTATCTTTAAAAGAAAATGAAGTTCTCTTTACAAGAAAAGTGTTACTTTTCGCCTATGTCAAATGAAATGTAATTAATCAAAGCAACCATCTACTCCTGGGTGATATCTGAAAAGATTGATTTGCTAGATTTTCAAAACATATTTATTAAAGCAGCCTGGAAAGAATAAACTAGGAAGTATGGTAATTTCTTAAAAAACTAAAACAGCCCTGGTGGGTGTAGCTAAGTTGGTTGAAGCATCATCCCATGCAGCAAAGGGTCTCAGGTTTAATTCCTGGCTGAGGTGCATACAGGATGGCAACTGACGGATATTTCTCTTACATCAATGCTTTTCTCTCTCTCCTCTCTCTCTGAAATCAATAAAAACATATTCTCAGGTGAGGATTTAAAAATATAATAATAATAAAATAAAAAAAACCATCTGCTGGTTTCTTCCTCATCACCCATTTTACTATTTTACCTAGACCCCTGTGAAACCAAATGCCTACATTTGGGGGGTAAATTTCAATGCTGCTCTTACTACCAAACCAGAGGTACCATTAACACTGTCACAAACATCCTGCCCATCCTTCTTTCATAGATTTGACTAAACCCACCTAAAACTTTAAGACTCTTCTACTGATCGAAGCTCCCTCTGCGTCTCCCACTCTGAAAGTGGGGAAGCCAGTAGGCAAGACTCCCGTATCATATCTTCCCTCTACACGCATGTAACTTCTTCCTCGGCATCCTTAGAAAGCTCTGAATGCTACAGTATCAATACTTCCTCACCCCTTACCATGGTCAAAACTGGTTCTTTCTTGCTAGTTATAAAATATATCTCATAATTATTCTGAACAGATTCTAAATATAAGGTCTCCTTCATCAACAAAACAAAAAGTCAACTTAGTGAATGGAAGAAGATATTCACCAATGATATATCCAATAAGCAACTAATACCCTTATCTTAACTTTATTTTAAAAATATATTTTATTGATTTCATAGAGAAAGGAAGAAGGAGAGACAAAAACATCACCAATTGGCTACCTCACATACACTCCCCACTGGGGACCAACCCCACAACCTGGTTCATAGGTCAATGCTCAACCACTGAGCAACATTGCCCAGGCTAATACCCCTTATTTTTAAAGAAGTTATTTATAAAAAACTCATATAACCCCCTCCCCAAAAACAAACAATCCAATTAAAAAGTAAGCAGAGGACCTGAATATACACATCTCCAAAGAGGATATACAGATGGCCAACAGACATATGAAAAGATGTTTAATGTAACTAATCATCAGAGAAATGCAAATTAAAATCACAATCAGATATCCTCTCATACCTGAGAGAATCGCTACCATCTACAAATCAACAAATAAGTTTGGTAAGAATGTGAAAAAGAGAAACTTTGTGTACTGTTGGTGGGAATGCATATTGGTGCAGCCACTATGTAAAACAGGATGGGGAGGATTCTCAAAAACTTAAATTAGAACTGCCTTGTAACAAAGAGATTTCACTTCTGAGCAAATATCCAAAGAAAACTAAAACACTAATTTGAAAGCATATGTGCACCCCTATATTCACTGCAGCATTATTTACAGTAGCCAAGATATGGAAGCAACCCTAGTACCCATCAGCACGCAAGTGGATATAAAAACAGGGGGACATATAGACAATGGAATATTAGCCATAAAAAAGAATGAAATCTTATAATTTGTGACATCATGAATGGATCTAAAGAGTATTATGCTAAGTGAAGTAAGTCTGACAGAGAAAGACAAATGCCATATAATTTCACTTGTATGTAGTCTCTATAGAACAAAATAAAGGAACAAACAAAACAGGAAAAGATTTATAGATACAGAGACTGGACTAACAGTTGCCAGAAGAGAGGGGGATTTGGAGGCTGAGTAAAAAGGTGAAAGGATTAAGAAGGTTGGTAGTTACAAAATAATCTATGGGGATGTAAACTAAGCATCTATATATATGAGAGCCTAAGCAACCAAACAACCAGTCAACCAGTC